AAAAAAAATAAACAATAAAATAGTTAATTTATCTCCTGGAAAGTATTATCACTTTGGATTAAAATCAAAATTGCTATTAAAATTAATTCAGAACGATTTTAAAGATAATGAAGTTAATATATCAGTAAATATTGATGGACTTCCTCTCACAAAAAGTAGTGGTAGCCAATTTTGGCCTATTTTGATAAAAATCGATGAATTGGAGAAACTTAGACCATTTCCAGTAGGTGTTTATCACGGAGAAACTAAACCAAACAACTCTAACATCTTTTTATTCAGATTTGTTGAAGAAATGAAGATTTTGCAAAACGAAGGTTTACGTTTACATGATAAAATAGTGAAAATAAGACTTAGTAAAATTCTCTGTGATGCTCCTGCAAAATCGTTCGTACTGTGTATAAAAAATTTTAATTCTTATGCAAGTTGCACTAAATGTTACGCTGAAGGATCATTTCAAAAGAACAGAATGACTTTTCCTGAATTGAATTCAAAAGTAAGAACTAATGAAGAATTCTATTCTCAAAGTGATGAAGATTTTCATAAAGACACATCTATTTTATGTGATTTAGAAATTGATTTTATTAAAAGTGTTCCATTGGATTATATGCATCTGATATTATTAGGAATAATGAAACGTTTATTGGGATTTTGGCTTAAAGGAAATCAAGAAGTCCGTCTGTTCAAAGAAGATATTGATGCTATTAATAAAAGAATAAAATTAATATATAAATCAACTCCCCGTGAGTTTTCCAGAAAGCCTACATTAATAACGGAATATGATAGATGGAAAGCTGTTGAATTGAGAACTTTTTTATTATATTATGGTCCATGGCTAATGAAACCATTTTTAAGAAACCAATACTTTCTTCATTTTCTTTCTCTACATTGTGCAATTAGAATTTTGGTTTGTCAAGACTTATTAGAAAAATATATTGATTATGCTAACGAGTTATTAATGTATTTTGTAAACGAATTTGGTAATTTATATGGCAACGAATTTGTTAATCATAACGTCCACAATCTCATTCATTTAACATTAGACGTGAAGACATTTGGCCCATTAGATAAATTCAGCTGCTTTCCATTCGAAAATTATATGCATACAATTAAAATGATGATTAAAACGTCAAATAAACCACTATCGCAATTTATAAAAAGAGTAAACGAATTTGATAAATATTCTTCCTTTAATAAAGAAAAAGAAAATTTTATTAAAGAAGATGGTCTTCGTTTAATAAACAATAAATCAGTAGAAGGTTTTTCAGCTATATATTATAAAAATTTTAGAGTGGAAGTTAAAGAACCCAACTGTAATTTTATTTTACAAAATAATCAACCTATAAAAATAATTGATATTTTAC